ACCAAACTCAACAGGAGGCATACACAGGTGGGTGGGGCCACAAGCGTGGCAAGGCGTGTGTGGGTGGGCAGGACTGTGCACAGGTGGGCAGGGCCGCAAGCACAGCGGGGCGCAAGCAGGTGGGTGGAGCCACATGATTTCTCGTGCTGGGCTTCTAGTAGTTAATGATATTCTAATAACTATGTATGGTGTCAGATGGGTACGAGATTTATCAGGATGATCACTTAGTAAGTTATATAATGTCTAATCACTGGAGTGTGCACCTGAAACTAATATAATATTATATGTTAACTATAATTGAGAAATTAAAAAATGATTTTTAAAAAAGACAATACACCAAAAGAAGCACAAATTATAAAAAGACTGATTAATTTGACACTAAAATTAAAAACTTGTTTTTATAAAAAAACCATAAAACAAAATGAAAAATATGCCTCACACTGAGAGAAGATATTTGTAACACACATAACTGACAAAAAAGAAGCACAAATCAATAAGAAAAAGAAAAACAATTCAATAGAAAAATATGCCAGGTAATTCACAGAAGACAAATTCTAAATGGCCAATAAACTTATGACAGATGTTTTATCCTCACAAGTAATCAGGAAAATGCAAATTAAAACTACAGTTGATGAATGTATTTCACACTCATCAGATGGGCAAAATGTAAACATCTAACAATTCCAAGGTTGGTGAGGATGTGGACAACCAGGATCTCATATGCCTGCTGTTGAGAGTGTAAACTGATACACCAGTTTGAAGAACCATCTGGCAACAGATGGCCAAGTTGTGCATAACTGTATGTGGCAGCCCTGCCAATTAAAGGTACATGAACTCAAACCCACAACATAGCAAGTCCACCCCTAAGCATGTGAGCTGAAAAGACTCCATGTATGTGCATGAGGAAACATGTAAAGAATGTTCTAGAAGCATGATTTGTAGTGGCAAAAGAAATGGAAGCTCTTTGCATGTCCATCAACAGGAGACTAGATAAAGGGCAGAAAAATCTACAACTTGAGAAATACTGGGGGAAATCCATTTAAATCAACACAGATTTATCTCACAACATGGAGTAATACAAATTGCAGGAGAATGCAAGCAGGGTGATACAGTTATGTAAGGCTTAAAAACACACAAAATGATACCACATAGCACTTAGTGATAAAAACGCATGTGGTCAAAATAGAAGAAATGCATGAAAAATAGGTTATGCATTTTATCTAAAAATTTGTGTTAGATAATATTTTGAGGGAGAAAAAGACAACTTGATAATGTCTGTCCATTAAGATGCTAACTTTCAACTTTTCTGCTCTCTGCCATTTAGAAAACATTAAGGAATCTACCATTAATCCTTGTCCTCACATGTGCCAAAATGCCCTTGTATCATAGCAATTAGGTAATGTGAGGAAAGTGATTTGAAAATGAAAAATTATACCTAAAAACTAAGTAAGTAATGCTATTAGGTGCACTTAGAGTGAGCTAGAACAAGACCACTCTCTGTCAGTTGCCAACAGGTAGATCTGAAGCAGGGTAAAAACTGGGCCATGTCTAACTAGGAATTCTTATCATTCCCTGGGCTTTTACTTTATGAGTCATGTGACTTGGGAAAACACCCTGCCTTGAACTTCCTTTGATGTTTCTTATTTGAGAGAGTGTGTTTTCAGTTGCATTTCTTATTTTGAAGTTGGAGTCCCATTCTCTGAGACCACCACGCGGCTCTCTATATTCTGAGCAACTACTATTTGAAAGAGGAAAGATAGAAACAACTCTCTTCCATTTTTAAAAATCAAAGTGCATCTAATTCATCACTGGTAAGCAATTTTTAAAACAATGCAATTCATTTAATGATTTCACAAAATGCTGATTAGATCCATGTTCATGATACAAACGGACCTTCCCCTTCCATCACGCCTCAGGACAAGCTGCAGGGAGAAACCTCTTTTATTCAAACCTAGGCAACCAGCTTTGCAGTTGGTTTCAACTGCTTTGAACGCAGCGAGGAGGCTGGAAGGAAAGGCAGGTGTTCCCGCTAACTCAGTGGTGCACCATCTTTTTGTCCGGAGGACTGATTTAGACACAGCCAAGTGGAACAACACACAAGCAAGACACTAAATCTGATTCAAACCTAGTCCCTATCAATTATGAAGGCTCCCTGAGGAAACACCCTGGCATCCGTATTCTAAATTCTCTGGCACAGCGCCATTAATTAGCACAGCAATTAGTGATGTCGCTATCAGTTCAAACTGTTTTGTATCTTCTCCTGGCCGTGGTCAGACAAAGGTGGCAAAACACAGTTCAATGTAATAAAGAATCCATAGTTTTTATTGTTGGCTGTTGAATGCTCACTCTTTCAACAGCTGCACCTCCATTCTGTGGTTTTCAATGATACTGTCTACATGAGAAGGCAATTACTTGGGACCAAAAAAAAAAAAGGAAAATTCCCTGAGATTTAAGACATTTACATCTTGCCACTATTGCCTGAAATCTCTGTACCTACTTTGCAAGCATTTCAGGATGTAATTATTTTTCCATTAAAATGTGACACAGAACCCCTCAGACAAGATGAAAATATTTTCTACCTCAAAGCGTTAAATAAGAAGTCGGAACCTTATCATAAAGCACTAAGCTAATACTCTTATGTCGGAAACTGAGTTTTTCCTTTGACATTTCAGTTTTATAGATATTCTATCCTTAGCTTCAGTGAAACATTATTAGCCTGCGTGCTCAAGTATTTCTTTTCTTAATTGTACATTTAGTCCTCACACTGAGAAGAAAATCAGCAAAAATAGTTCTTGAGGAGTTCTAAGGATATCAATTCATGTTGCTGGGGTAAAAAGAATATCAAATGAAAGCAGCCGATGTTTACTTGCTCCTGAGAGAGTAAGTCTTGCAGACCAAGGAGCACAGTCACTAGGAAGCCCATTGTCCTATTTTGGACTCCAGCCCCTCTCACTCCTCCCTGCTTCCTCCCTTCTCCTCATATATTAAGTTTTTTGAGAGTCAAGCCTATAATTACTCTTAATTCTGCAGTCTCCAATGCCAAAGGCAATTTTAAAGCACATAAAAGATAAATAATTGTTGATTGATTGACACATGAGGTCTACAATTTAAATAAACTGGCCAAAGTAAATATGTTTTCTCAGTTATTCTTCTAAAGAATATCCACTTAGTTACAATGAGTTTTGATTCAAAAGCTATGAAATTACATAATCCAGGTTAGATAGCAAAGATCCCTACTATTTTTCACATATAAAACTTTTCTTTAACCATTTCCTAACTACAGTGATTTAGAGGCTAAACTCTAAAGTTGGATTCTTCATGTTTTAAACAGGAATCTCTACTGTTGGTACTAAACTAAGTTCCAATGTTCTCTTGTCAGTAGATAAGAAAACTAAAGATAAGAAAGCACACATCGTAAACAAGATGAGCAATGAATTCACATGGCCCAAGAGAAAAGTTCTTTGTCCTTCAACTTAACAGACAAATGCTCATGAGCAATTTCCTGCACCAACAGGGTTGCTTTTTGAAAGGTTTACATGAAAGAGCGACAGGGTTTAGAGTGAGAACTTGACATTCTTTCCCTGAGCATAAAAGTGATACTTAAACTATTATTCATGTTCAGAAAAAAAAAATCTCAATTTTAAAACCACCCTTGGTACATCCCCAACCTTTTCAAAAACAGATTTCTATTAGCTACTTCTCTGTATTATCCATATTAATTTAAGGTCATTGGGGCTCAAATAATACACTAAACTTCCGGAAACCTACCACAAGTAGATTTTAAGAACTATGACTGTATTACCATAGTCTATCTAGTCTTTGGTTTATGTATTAAAATATCATGCTTGTTTGGAAGCAGCTTCAATAGCCCCTTACAGTTTCTACTACTGTGATTTTTGTTTCCATTTTATGAAAATGTAACACACAATTGTGTGCCTGTCGCACATAGTTGATGACCAAAATAAATAAATAAATAACATATTTTGTTTTTTCCACTATTAATATCCTGCCATAATTAAAGGATGGGTAAAAGGTACCAAAGACATGGTATAATTTATACTGAAGGAAAATGCATGATCAATAGTTTTTCCTATGAAATATTATTATTGTGGGTCATGCATTAAAGAATCACTAACCTCCTAAAACCCAAAAAGTGTAAAACTACCATAAGAGCCAACGGCTGGGTCCATTTTGACTCTATTCTTCAAAGCAAATTAGAACTAGACCTACAATGCAGTCAATGAGAGTGTGAGTTTCCATTCCTCTCCGTGGGCATTATTTAGTGTAGAAATTTCGAAATGAGAAAATTACCATAGTCCTCAGTTTCTGGACCCAAGGAGATATTAGAGTGGACATCGCACATCTGGATCTTGACCATCAGATGCAAATTTCGTAAAAATTAGGCATATTGTGAAACTAATAAACTCATTGGTGACTAGGTTTATGAAAGTTCTGGCTTTCTCTAGTTTCTGTTTTATAAGTAATCCTATCACACACAGAAATGTCACTTAAGATCAGAGAAACTCAGTCACTATATCAAAAAAGAGAAAAAGGTAGAAAAGGTAATTAAGAAGTTTCCATTTTGAAGGCAGTCAAACTAATATATTTCCCATGAGAGTATAAAGGAAACAATGGAGTGGTTTTGAGGGGATTTGTTAAATCCTTTTATTAAGCATCTTGAAGTGACTAGATGAGACCAGTTAGGATCAGAGTGGTGTCGAAGTTAAATGGATTTTGTGGCAATTTTCTCCCTTCTCTTGAGATGTTGTGAGTGCACAGTTCACCTGAATTAATTATATGAGGCATAATTTAGAAGGAAATAAAAAAAAGAAAGGGTCCTGCTAGTATGCAAGGGATAGCAAAGATTCCAGGACAAAATCTCCAGAGAACTAATTACTGGTGCCTAAACTTGAACATTTAGTGTGAAACATTTTCATCAAAGAATATAAACGAAGAAGTTGAAGCTGATCGTTTCATTCTTTGCTACGGAAATGCAGTACCTTGCCTGACCCACTCTCCACGATGAAGTTTGTGCTCTAACGTATAGCAACATTTGTGATATCCAGAGAGCAGTTCTGCCCAGTTAATGGTCACAGTGGCTTCTTCATTTTCACATGCACTAGCGGGACACTCAAACAGGGAAATCAAGGCTGTCGTGAAAACAATGGCTTGAACCTTGAGAGGAATATTGAGAGAGAAACAAACATGGGCAGAGAAATTGTTGCAAGAAAAATCTACATTCTTTAACATTAAAAAATTGGTATTGAATTAATAGGAAGTTCTTCAATATTATTTAAAAGATGCAAGCAGTTATATTAAAAGACAGAGCAACTACAATGTTAGTAAGGCAATTACCAAGGGCGGTTCATTTACTTTTATGATATACTCGTCATTAATAACAGTAAGAATAAAAATCTTTGACAATTATAAAAGGAAATTGTTCAAATTAGACTGCTTAAGAGTTCACAGCCATATTCTAGTGTCATTCAGTAGATAATAGTTTTACAGAGATCGGGTGGAATTTGATAGGAAGTCAGAAATCATTTCCTCCCTGTCTGGGTGTCTGTGCTGCCTCTCTAAGGCATCTATCCTTTGTTAAATGTAGAGGAAATGATCACTTTCCAGGAGGCTGGTACTGAGAAGCTTGAAACCTTATGAATAAAAATCAGAATACGGAATTTGAAAGAGTTATGAGAGATAACTTTAGTCATTTGATATTAAGTGTTTATTAATATTGGAATCTAAAAGATTATAAGCATCTAGACCAGCTGGTGTTACTCAACGGCTGGGCATTGATTCCTGGTCGGGACACATGCCCAGGTTGTGGGCTCAATCCCCTGTGTGGGGCATGCAGGAGGCAGCCAATCAATGATTCTCTCTCATCACTGATGTTTCTATCTCTCTCTCCCTCTCTGAAATCAATAAAAATATGTTTTTTAAGATTATAAGCATCCTATGGTGAAAAAAGAAAAAAAATTCTAAATATGAAAATTGAGATTATACATAGTCAAGAAAACCCACAATGGAGATTGTTTGTTATAAGCAAGAAGAGAGGCCCTGGCTGGTATGGCTCAGTTGGTTGGAGTGTCATCTGATACATCAAAAGGTGGCAGGTTCCATTCTCAGTCAAGATACAGACCCAGGTTGCAGGTTTAATCCCTGGTCCGGGCATAGGCGGGAAGCAACTGATAGATGTCTCTCTCTCTCTCTCTCTCTCTCTCTTTCTCTCTTGCCAATCAATAAATAAAAACTTAAAATAAAAAAGAAGAGAAATTGTGATGACCTAATCCATTTTTTTCCATGTCCATCGTGTGTGGTCTTATAATCTATAATGCAGTTCAATTAGAAGGTCACACTCATTGCATTCTATTTCTATATGTAGCTACTGTTTGATAATTAAGTAGATAGTGTTCAATCTTATTGTTCCCTTACTTACCTTTCCAGTTATGTCCCCAAAAGACAGAATTGATTTATTGTCATCAAGAGGGTCATACCAATAATCCATGCAAATTGGTGTTCCTTTCAGGCCTTGGAGTTTGTATTGACAAGGAAATTGTTCTTTGGACAGCAGATCATAAAAACAAATCTCTTTACTTGTAAAAGCCACCGCTATCTAAAGAAACAATGTAGAAAGTCAGAAAGCATGTCTGATGGATTTAGTGAAATCAATATGCAAAGCAGACATGCAAATCTTAGCACCAAATCAGACATCATTCCCTAAGGATTCTTAAGAGCATTACATAAGTATCGCACAGTGGCACAAATGTGTTTTATTCTAACTTTGGACAGTAACCAAGAAAAAATATTTGCCATTGAAGTTATTTGAACATTCTTTCTTTATTCTTACTTCATATACCCACCAACTTCTATCTACGGGAACAAGATGACTAATTACAAAACAAAAGCAAAGGCACAGAGAGCTACAGATTCACACAGTCATAACAGAAACTTTACAAACCATGTTTTACAAAGCAAGCAGAAACTGTCACAAAACTCAATTGATAAAAACCTGCTAAGAAGCCTTCCTAAGCCAGATAATATCTTAAAATCTAGTTTTAAAAGAGCAAACAAATTTTTCAATAACATTGACAAAGCTTACCTAAACTAATCCAAGAAATAAAAGAGAAAAGATACACATTGTTAAAATCATAAATAAGAGAGTGGATATTACTATCAACTTTATAGAAATAAAAGAAAAGATTATAAGATGATACCATAGCCCTAGCCAGTTTGGTTCAGTGGATAGAGCATCAGCTTGCTGACTGAAGGTTCCCAGGTTTGATTCTGGTCAAGGGCACATACTTTGGTTGGGTTTCAAGCTCCTCCCTGGCCCAGGCCCTGGTCAGGGTGCATGAAGGAGGCAACCAATCGATGCGTTTTTCCCACATCAATATTTCTCTCTGTCTTTCTCCCTCTCTACCACTCTCTCTCAAAAAAATCAATGGAAAAATATCCTTGGGTAAGTGTTAAAAAAAAAAAGAAGGAGAAGAAAATACTATGAACAATTAGATGGCAACAAATAACTTCAATTAAATGAACAAATTCATAGAAATACAAAAATTACCTAAACTAACTCAAAAGGCATAAAAAACTCAGCAGACACACAATAAAAGACTAAATTAGTAATCAAAAAAATTCTAGTCCCAGATGCTTCACTAATAAATTCCACAAACATTTAAAGAATCAACTCTAATCCTTCTAAATCTCTTCCCCCAAAAAATAGAAGTGGAAGAAACACTTCTGAAATCATTTTATAAAAACCAATATTATCATAATACCAAACCACACAGAGGAGAAAATGTGTAGAACAAAAGAAATTTAGCAACTATTCACAATATCTGAAATTTTTTGGATCTTGGTTCAAACTAATTATCAAACAATAAACTATTAAAAAACAATAAGACAAGGAAATATATACATGACTGGATATTTAATGATATTAATGAATTATTGCTATTTATATTAAATGTAGAGTGGTGTTTTGGTTATACTAAAAAGAGACACATTTTAAAAATACCAAATATTCGCAGATTAAATGATTGAATGTTTTAGATTTCAAAGAGGGGAGGTATAGATGAAACAAGATTGCATGTGAATTGGAAAATGGTTAAGGGTGAATATTGGTTCTTAATACTATTATTCATGCTCGTGTGTGAGTTTAAAATTTTTAAAGTGAAATTTACCATCTACTTAATATAATACTAAGAACATGAATTCTTTAAGCTGCATCCTCTCACAAACCGATTTTCCTTACAGTATGTTACCTTGCTCGTAGGCATGGTTATAGAAAGATGTTTGAACTGAGTGGACCCTACACATCAGAATTAAGAAACTGATTAGTACCGTGGTCAAAATCATCAAAATGAGACAAGCAGTTTCCTGTCATTGCACTCAGCTGTGCCACGCATGGTATAGCCTCTCAGTTCGGCGTATAATGCAGCATGACCACAGTGGGGACAAAGCCAAGCATCTGAATCATCAGCCGTGTCATTTAAAGGCACACAGGAGAACAGCTTGGAAAACAGAGTAGCTCCCTTGGCTCTACTTGTATTCCCTCCAGGTCAGGTTAGAGGCACAAAAGAGTAATGCTCTGTTGCTGCTAGTGTTACACTTGATATTGATCTGGAACCCTGTCCCATCATGTGTCCCCTTATACAAGCAATAAATTCATGTATAAAGACTTTGTACCTTGTTTACATTTTCCAGAGAAACCAGACTTGTCACCCACAGGTGTTTAAGCTTGGTGGCATCTGAAGTGATGGGGAATGTTTGTTGCAGCTTTAAATTCTCTCCCCAGATTCCTAATAAACCTTCCTCACTGATGGTCAGATAACGACTTGAATTCTTTAAGAAAATGACTTTTTGAATGGTGTCCTTGTGTTTCACTGGGAGGAACTTAAGGTCTTTCCACTGGGGAACCGCAGTCGCCTTTGCTCGTTCGTCGTTTTCATAAAGTGTTAACAGCATAAATGAAGTCAGCTTGTCCCAAGTAATGAAGCCATCTTGGGCCACATCCACTTTGTCAAAGAGCTTCCCGTATTCTTCCTTTGTGCCCCAACCAACAATCTCTGTCATCCTCTGCATAAACTCTTCTCGAGACATAGGGATGGTTTGACCTGGCTCTAGGGGCTAGAAATTGGGATAAAAAGAAGACAGCAGTGAAAACATCCTAAGTACCAGAGTGTTGTGCTACACCCACCCCCAAGGTGGATCTAATCAGTGATTCTGCCAAGATGCAAAGAAAAATGTCGTGTACTTTCTACTTAAGTGACTTGGGGTTGAGGAGCAAATAACTGATAGTGCTATAAGCAGACATCCTCAATAACATATGTCCCTGGAAGTGGAAGAGGGAGGCAGGAGAGTCAGAGATTAGATATGATGATGGAAATGGGGGTCAGAGTGATGCAGGGCTATGTATTAGGGACTGTGGGCAGCTTCTAGAAGTTGAAAAAGGCAAAGAAACAGATTGTCCCCTAGAGCCTATAGAAGGAAGACAAGTCTGACATCACCTTGATTTTAGCCCCATTTTGAAACTTCTGACCTCTGGAAGTGTGAGAGAATAGAGTTGTGTACTTTAAGCTACTAAACTCATGATAATTGGTTATAACATCCATAGTAAATTAATTCAGTAATTTACAGAAAATGGGTGAATCCCTGAAGAAAGTTTAGCACAACCAGTAAAATGATACAACAGTGGAACTTTAATCCAAGGGCAAGTAGTCCACTTCTATAAATACACACAAAGAACAGTAAACACATATACAGTTGACTTTTGTTATTCATGTTAGTTATTTTTTATGAAGTCTCCACAAACACTAAATCAGCAGATATTCAACCATTGATTCTAGGGGAAATACATGGTTAGGCTTCTTTGAGCCTCTGGTCACAGTATTTTCATCAACTGATCAATTCATAATTTTGTTTTATGTGTGTTTCTGTTGAAAGAAACCTTATTTAATCTATATTATTAATTCACTAACATTGAGTTCATGGCCAACAGCACTATAACTCATGACTGAATGAAATTTATCTAGCACAGGTATTTTCTTCATAAGGCACATCACAGCCTTCTTGCACTTAGAAACACTAGATAGCACTTCAGCACTGCTCTTAGGGGCTATATAAAGAGTGAAATAACCAACAAAAAGCACAAAATGCAAAAAACTTGGCACTAAGTACACCACAAGTAGGATTCTTGTTTATGGTAACAGAATTGAAATAAGAAGGCAGAGTACAGTATTATCTTCTTTGACCTCAGCCTGGAGTATGTACATTGGAAGTTTTTTGCTATTCTTCATATGTCTGTGAATGTTCATAAAATTGCCTTAAGTATTGATTTTGACATTACAAATAAGTTTTAGCAAGTAGGCAAATTCACAAATACAGAATTCATGAATAATAAAAATCATCCATATTTCAAGAAAGTACATAGCTTAATATTGGTAGGTTGTTTAGTGTATTGAGACTCATGATGAGAGAATCTACTTTTCCTATTAGTTCAGAGTCAAAAAGTAAGGGTTGACAGTTAGCTCTGGGAGGCAGCCTATTATAGAGCAGGTCAAACAATAGTAGATTTAATCCTGACTCCATCAGAAATTGGGGAACTATTGGGAGGCTACATCACTGCTGAACCTTAATTTCCCCATCTATAAAATGAATATGGCAATATCAGTCACAAGAAAATTGTTATAAAGATTAACTGACATATCAATAGATGCATAAAAAGTGTTTGACAAAATTCAATACCCATTCATGATAAAAATTCTCAGTAAACTAAGAATAAAAGAAAACTTCCTCAACTTGATAAATAATATCTGCAAAAAACATACAATATGCATAATGGTGAGAAACTTTTAAGTTTTTCTACTAAGATCAAGTACAAGGCAAGAATGTCCACTCTCATCATTGGTCTTCAACATCATACTGTAAGCTCACTTAATACAATAAGAAGATGCCAAGGCCATCTATGTAGAATGTCTGAAAGAATCAACAAACTCCTGAAACTACTGAGTGATTACAGCAAGGTTGTAGGATGTAAAACTAATATACAAAAGCCAATGGCTTTGAATAAATGGAATGAACAAGCAATGAACAAATGGAATTTGATATTAAAACCATAATACCATTTACATTACCATCCACAAAAATAAAACATGTATAAATCTAACAAAATACATATGTACAAGATCTATCTGATAAAAACTACAAACTTTTGATTAAGAAATCAAGAAGAACTAAGTAAATGGAGAATACCTGTTCAAGAACAGGAAGATTCAAAATAATCCAAAGATTCCATGAAATCCCAATCAAAATCCCAGAAACTTATTTTGTGGATAAAAAACCTGATTCTAAAGTTTATATGGAAAGGCGAAAGACCCCGACAAGCTAATAAAATATTGAAGAACAAGAACAAAGATGGTGGACTGACTCTGCTCAACTTCTAGACTTACTATAAAGTTATAGTAACCAAGACAGTCTGGTATTGGCATAAGAATCGACAAATAGAAGACCTTATCTTCTCTAACCAAGGACACTGGAGAACAAACGGTTTATACCTCTTCTCCCTAAGCAGAGAATACATAGCTTAAATCATCATGGTTGGGGAGATAAAAAACAGAGACCCAATTGATGCCACTTGTGCTAGCTAAAACCAAGGACAGATAAAGTAAGGGTAACAAATAACAAAAACCTATTTAGAGCCAGACAGATCAAAGGTAAAAGTAAAACAGTAAAGGGGACCAAAGAAAAATCCCAAACTCCCCAATTTTATTATCATGTTAAAAACATACCTGGAAAGCTGATGAATATTCTACTGAAACCCTCCCCTAAGATTCTCACCCACAGAAAAAAGATAAAAACTTTCAAGACAAAGACCCAGTGTGGTCTTGCTTTAAAGCATGCCCATATGCCTTTCTTGGCCTGAACTTTTTACTTCCTCCTAATTCTAAGAGTCTCCTGAGACTTGGAACTAGGAGAGCAATGGGCAATGACAGCTTGTCCTGGGCTTACCCCCTGACTCTGTCTGCAAGGCCCCTTTTTTCTCTAACTTTCCAGCTAACAGCAGCCCCACCTTGGCTCACTTTTGTCACTGTGACCTCCACTTCCCAGTGAGCTAACAGCATCACTTCTTTCCTATAATGTTTCCAGGGAGCCAAAGCAGAGCACCACCTAGGTTCTCTCCTGTTGCTTCTTCTATCCTAAGTCTTTCCTTTGTTTCATGTCCTCAGCTTTAAAAGTATACAAGCATTGAACAGATCGTCCAACCTCAGAGGGAAGGCAGGGAGGGAGAGTGGGTACGAGATCAACCAAAGGACTTGTATGCATGCATATGATGAGCATAACCAATGGACACAGACAGTAGGGGGGTGAGGGTATGTGCTGGTGGGTGGGAGCAGCTGGGGAGAGGTCAGTGGGGGGAAAAAAACATATGTAATACTTTAAACAATAAATAATTTTTAAAAATATCCTCATAATCACCTGGACTTGTGTTGTGAAATCTTTCCTGCACCAAGTCAAGAACCCACACACTATAGGCCAGCCTGAAGCCGACTGGCTCTGGCCCAGTCCCCATCCAGTCACAAACTGATGTTTGACAAAGGAGAAAATACAATGACAAAAAGATAATATTTTTAACAAATGCTGTTGGGATAACTGAACATCCACGTCAGGGGTCCTCAAACTACAGCCCGCGGGCCATATGCGGCCCGCTGAAAACATTTATCTGGCCGGCCGGGTGTTTTTGCCACCGCTGCCTGTTGCTTAGCAGCCAACTAGTTTTTTTTAAACTATAGTCTGGCCCTCCAACGGTCTGAGGGACAGTGAACTGGCCCCCTGTTTAAAAACTTCAAGGACACCTGATCCACATGATAAAAAAATGAATCTAGACAAAGACCTTATGTCCTTTACAAAAATTAATTCAAAATGAGTCACAAATCTAAATATAAAACAGAAAACAATAAAACTCCTGGAAGAGAACATAGAAGCAAACCTAGATGATCAGGGACTGTGGTGATGACTTTTTAGATGCAATATAACAGGAGGCATGAATCATGAAAGAAATAATTAATAATCTGGACTTCATTAAAATTAGAAAACTTCTGCTCTGTAAAATATAATGTCAAGAGAATGAGAAGACAATCATAGACTAAGAGAAAATATTTTCAAAAGATATATCTGATAAAGAACTGATCCAAAATATGAAGAATTCTTAAATTTCAACAATAAGAAAAACAAATCTATTAAAAAGTAGGCCAAAGACCTTAATATATCTCCTCAGCAGTGGCCAGATTATCATGACCACCTGACATTTGTAGGCAAATTAGCTATACACTGCATCGTATGGAATATGGAAGCCGAAGGCCTGTTCAAACACCTTTGCTGTCTGCAGTTACCAAGATAAAACGTCTCCAATTCACACAGGAACACAAGGATTGGATAGTCAAGCATTGGAAAAAAGTCATGTGGTCCGATGAATCACGTTTCCAGTTGTATCATGCAGATGGCAGAGTGAGAATTTGGCAGAAACAGCATGAAAGCATGCACCCCACATGCTTGAGTACAACCCTTCAAGCTGGTGGGGGCAGTGTTATGATTTGGGGTATGTTTTCCTGGCATAATATGGGCCCTTTAATTCATGTGGAACAACATCTGAATAGCACAACATACCTAAGTATCGTTGCTGATCAACTTCATCCTATCATGTTGATGGCGTATCCCAATGGAGATGGCTTCTTCCAACAAGACAATGCACCATGCCATGGTGCTCGTATTGTGCAGGAGTGGTTTCAAGAACATGAGAGAGACTTTACCTTGCTTAGGTGGCCCCCAGAATCACCAGATCTCAATCCAATGGAGCATTTGTGGGACGAAGTTAAAAGAGCCATCAGGCAGCTGGTTCCACAACCATCAAATCTCACAGAGCTGGACAGTGCTATTTATCAGGCATGGTGTCAGATCCCTCGCATCCTTTGAACATCTTGTGGAGTCAATGCCAAGAAGAATCGCCGCATTATTGAAGGCCAAAGGTGGCCCAACGAAGTACTGATGGGGTGGTCATAATAATCTGGCCACTCAATATATATATGGGTGTTAAAGGCTGTTAAATCGCATTGTTTACCCATATCTTGAGA